AGTGTCCCTTGAGGGAATTATACGAGCTGTGGTGACAGCATTGTGCACAACCTCTATGTACTCACATACCTTTATTCTCAATAATGTACATGGGCAAGCCAAAGATAAATTAAAATGAAATAAGCATAAAAATATATGTCTTATATGTGCATACTATCATCATATATGTTATAGTATAATAAATATATGCAAGTTAAGATGTCATGATCAATGGTAAGGATGCATGTTCATAAATTCATTTTTATACATACGTATACGTATATTTATGTTATGCCTCACTAAGTCTATGACTTAGCGTATAAGTGATTTACACGTAGGTACCAAGAATCGAGAAGGACAGAAATATGAGTGGTAATAACAGCAGCACTGCCAGAAGATCAGATCAGAAGTAATTGATAAAGTATGTATTTTGTCGTGTATAGTATGTTGGCATGTAAGTAAAGTGTCAGTTATAAATGCTCTGATCGATTTTGGTTGTTTTGGTTATTTTATGTAAATAAACCGCTTTTATGTTAATGAAGGTTTTAAATTTTCCTTGAATTTTGTCAAGAGTCAAAGTTTGAAAAGTCAATGTGACACCTCAGACTCATATTCAGGTCGGATACGAGTTGGGGGTGTTACAGAAAATGACTCCTTTGTTGAGTTGGTTTCATGTGAGAAAGGAGAAACTCTATATGAGCAACACTGTAACTTCCAAGATCAAGGGGAAAGGCAATGTAATTTTAAAGATGACTTCTGGCAAAGAGTTGAAACTTCAAAATGTGTTGTATGTGCCTCATATACGAAAGAACCTTGTCTCTGGGACCCTCCTAAGTATACATGGCTTTAGGATGGTGTTTGAATCCCAAAAGTTAGTTTTATCAAAAGGGGGAATATTTGTGGGAAGGGGATATGTATTGAACAATATGTGAAAACTCAATGCTATCTCTTGAAAAAAACTAAAAATATAAATAAGGATGGTTCTTTTTCTTTTGTTTATATGATTGAGTCATTAAATTTATTGCATGGTAGACTCAGACATGTTAATTAAGATACTTTACGTAGATTAATTAACTTAGAACACATTCCCCCATTTTACATTAATTATAATCATAAATGTGAAACATGTGTTGAGGATAAAATAACAAGGTCTTCATTTAAACCCGTTGAAAGAAATAAGAAACCTCTTGATCTAATACACAATAATGTTTGTGACTTAAAATTTGTTCAAACTAGAGGAGGGAATAAATATTTTATTACCTTCATTGATGATAGCACAAAATATTGCTATGTATATTTGCTTAAAAACAAAGATGAAGCTATAGATAAATTTATTCTCTATAAGCAGGAAGTTGAAACCCAACTTAACAAAAGAATTAAGACGTTGAAAAGTGATCATGATGGTGAATATGTTGAACCATTTGGTTAATATTGTGTACAACATGATATTATTCATGAAGTAACACCACCATACTCTCCTCAATTGAATGGATTAGCATAGCGACAAAATCGAACATTAAAGGAAATGATGAACGCTATGCTAAGAAGTTCTGGGTTATCACAAAACATGTGGGGGAAACTGTTTTATAAGAAAATTACCTTTTAAATAAGGTGCCCCGCAAGAAAAAGGACAAGACACCATATGAGTTGTGGATAGGCAAGAAACCCTTCTACAATTACTTGAAAGTGTGGGGTTGTCTTGCAAAGGTAATGGCTCCTTTATCAAAGCAAATGAAAACAAGTCCTAAAAAGGTGGATTTTATTTTTTTGATTATGCTCACCACAACAATGCATATCGATTTTTTGTGCATGAATCAAAGAATCCAAAAATTCACAAGAATACGATATTAGAATCTAAAAATGCCTCATTCTTTGAAAATATATTTCCTTGTAAAACTAGAGATGATGGCTCAAGTTCAAGGAAACAAACTTTAGACACTATTAATGAAAATAGTCAAGACTTCCAACAAGAGGTTGAAGTTGAGATAGAGCTAAGAAGAAGTAAAAGGGCATGGGTAGAAAAATCCTTCAGATCGGATTTTCTAACCTATATACAAGAGATTGAACCTGTAACTTGTAGCGAAGCTATACGTTCATCTAAAAGTAATTTTTAGAAAGATGCCATCAAGAGTGAAATTGATTCCATCATGCAAAATCATACGTGGGAATTAGTAGATATTCCTCATGGAATTAAACCATTAAATTCTAAATAGATTTTCAAATGAAAAATGAAAGCAGATGGAACAATTGATAAGTACAAGGCCAGATTGGTTATTAAAGGGTACCAACAAAAAAATGTATTGATTACCTTGATACATATTCGCTCGTATCAAGAATAACTTCTATAAGAATGATACTTGCAATTGCCGCTTTACAAAATTTAGAAGTACATCAAATAAGTGTTAAGACCACTTTCCTTAATGAAGAATTTGATGAGGAAATTTACATGGAACAACCTGAGGGTTATGTAGCACCAGTATAAGAAAAGAAAGTATGTAAGTTGGTAAAGTCATTATATGGACTTAAGCAAGCACCAAAGCAATGGCATGAAAAGTTTGATAGTGTTATAATATCAAATGGATTTAAAATAAATGAGTGTGACAAATGTGTGTATGTCAAAACCACAATTGATGGATATGTAATCCTATGCCTATATGTTGACGACATAATCATTGTTGGAAGTAACAATGAAATGATAAAACAAACAAAAAATATGTTAAATTCAAAATTTGACATGAAAAATATTAGACTTGCTGACATGATTTTGGGCATCCAAATCAAAAGGTCATTTGAAGGTCTCATTTTGACTCAGTCACACTATGTAGACAAGATTCTTGAAAAATTTGGCAAGGATGATTCTGGTGTAGCCAAAACTCCGATAGATACAAGTCAACATCTATATAAAAATAAAGGTGAAAGTGTTAACCAAGTGGAATATGTAAGGATCATAGGCAGTCTAATGTACCTTACGAGTTGCACTAGACTTGATATTTTTTCACTGTAAGCAGTTTAAGCAGATTCACAAGCAATCTAGGGGAGAAACACTGGAAAACAATTGTGAAGGTATTAAGATATCTTAGATATACTCGAAACTATGGATTGCATTATTATATAGATCCTGATGTGTTAGAAGGATTCTCTGATGCCAGTTGAATATCTGATATTCAAGATACCAAAAGCACAAGTGATTATATTTTCACATTGGGAGGAGGAGTGTGTCATGGAAATCCCCAAGACAAACAATTATAACCAGATACATGATGGAATCTGAGTTTGTAGCCTTGGACAAAACTGAAGAAGATGCACAAATGATTACGAAATTTTTTGGAGAATATTCATGAATGACCAAAGCCTGTACCCAAAAATATGTATATATTGTGATAACCAAGAAACAATTGGTAGAGCACAAAATGTAATGTATAATGGTAAGTCGAGACACATGCGACGTCGACACAATACAATTAGACAACTGATCTCAATTGGAGTTATCTCTATTGATTTTGTAAGATCAAAAGATAACATTGCGGATTTGCAAACCAAATGGTTGAATCGAGATCAAGTTGATAAAACATCAAAAGGAATAGGACTAAAGCCCATGAATTGTTAAGGCTCTATGTAAAGGAAAACCCAACCTAGTTGACCGGAGATCCCAAGATTTAGGTTCAATGGGACAACCTACTTGCATAGACCTGGTGAGGTCACTGTGGGGGTTTTTATCCCCAAGCCTATTCATATGATGAAAACAATGACTAAAATATGGATGAGGTTAAGAAATGCTTTTAATGACCAATATGTGTTTCGTTGAATTGAACAACATAAGTCACCTATGTGAGAGTGAAGTGGAGTCACTTTAAAGAGATTATTGGGGCATAGTTCTCTAAGCTCTTGCAGAACCAGGAGATGTTCACGGCTATATGGACATAACCATGAAAACCATACTCTTGTCAGTGAGATATTTGTGTGAGGTATGTCATTGCTTACACAAAAACTAGGACAGTTCAAGGACATCACGTCTATTGGACAACCAATAAGATAAACATATTTTCACAAGGGAAGGTTCAAAGAGGGACACCTACCTATCTTATGCAAATATCGAACATAGAATCTATCACCACATCAAGTTAATGTTTTAAACAATCAAATTCATTCATGTAGGGGATTGTTGGAAAAACATGAATGAATTGATTTATTCAATCATGACTATTCAACATCTCTATTCATGAAAAATAGTTATTCGTTTCACTCAAAAAGTCGAGTCTTTTCATGTTAACATTTTCATCAAAAGGTTATAATTTTTAATCAAATGGTTAAATCATTTCATTTAAAGGTCTTAACTTTTCAATAAAAATTCATCTACCTATATAAAAGATAAGTTGTGACACAACACACAACTTTTCCATTTTTCTTTCGATACTTTCCTTTAAAATCTTCGATTCTTCCAAAATCATTTTCCGGTGATAGATAAAGACAAAGATTGTGTTCGATTGTTCACTACGGTTGTGCTTACTGTTGTGAACATTTGTTGTTGTATCTTGGGAGACCGACGTCCAACGTTACTCAAAGCACCAAGGAGATGACGAATCTGTCTTAAGGGAACTGTTCATACATGCCTCAACAAAACTATTCTTCCATTTATTCAGTTTCATCTGATTACAAGTTCTATTACACAATTTTTTTAACTTTATTATTGCAACGGAATTTTAGATTATCATACTACAACCCTAATTTTCAATATATGCAACAACACTAATTTTCAATATATGCAACAACATTTTCATAATTGATGAAACTATCAAAACTAAAAGGAAACTCTAAGAATGGAAGCTAAGAACCAAGAAAACCAGACATCAATCTAAAGGTGCTAAGCTTATTTCCCATCATTGAAAAAGATAAGGTTGTGTGCTTGCCATCGGTCATAGGTAATAAGTAAATGGTGATTTCCATCACTAAAAAACAGAAAAGAAAAATATCATTACAGCCTTCAATTAGAACCAACCAAAGATACTTGTTGAATTATCCTAAAAGGAAATAAAGGGATAAGGGACCACCCTCTTTCTCTCCTTGTTGTAAAAACAATGAAAATCTACACCTAGCTGCAAGTCTGCAACTGAGACCGATTTCGATAAGATTGATAACCATGGCTTACAGTTCATTTTTCTCACCGAACTTCACTCCTTTTTCATCTGCAAGATCAATTAACCATCAGTTATCTTATCATCCGTACCTTCCTTCTACATCTGTGGAATACAACAATATCAGGAGGGAGTTATTAGTTCCGAAAGTGGCTTCAGTTCCGTACCAGCCAATTAATGTGGACTATTTGAAGGGAGAATTTAGTGGCCATGGGGTCACCTTTGAAGGTATTGGTGACAATTGTGTTGCCAAGATGGGATTGGATAATGGCAGCAGAGCTATTTTGATGCTACCAAGTGGTTTGATCACATCTTACAAGGTTCCGATGTGGCACGGCGGCACGGTCGAGCTACTGCACACATCGGTTTCCGAGGGAGATGAAGGTGAGGCTGTGATACAAGGTGGGGTGTCTTTGGCCCTCAACTGTGAAGATGATAATGAAGTTTCATGGTCTCCAAATGATTGGGTTCTTCGTGATGTTAGAGGCGATTCAAATGAATCTATTAAGGTTGAACTGATAAGCAGTGATTCAGAAAATATGGTTGAAACAAGATATATTGTTACACTACAAGAAGATGTCTTAACCTCAGAGATCTCAGTCACGAACTCGAAATCGACACCATTACACTGGACTGGATCTTTTATAAGCCATTTAACCGTTAGCAGCCCGGAAGCAACATATGCACTTGGATTAGAAGGATCGGATTTTCTCAATGTGCCACCCTATTTGTCCGATTTTGCTATAATTCCTCCTGATCTCGACGAGGAAAACAAGTCTGAGATCGGCCAACTTTGGAGTCAAATGGGACTTAAAAGGCTTTTAAGTGGCTTGAGACAAAAAAATCAAAAGAATGCCAGTGAAGAAGAAATGGAGGGGGAAGAAGATGATGGCTATAAGCAATTAAATGAGGAAATGAGCAGGGTATATACCAGTGCACCTAGATTCTTTACACTCATTGACAGGGTAATTTTCTAGTAAAATTCATTTGGATTTTTCTTATGGGGGCTGACATTTGCTATCTCTAGTACATTCTCTTGTACATGCACTCAGTTTGTTTTCTTTCCCTTTTTTTTAATGGAACAGGGTAGAAGAAACTCAGTTGCAGTAGGAAGAGATGGATTTGATGAAATGTATCTGTTCAGTCCTGGTTCAAGCCATGAAATCTATGGAGAGTATTCTTATATATGTGTAGGACAGTCAGCCATGCTTAAACCTATTATCTTAGGTCCAGGAGAAGTGTGGAGAGGTTGGCAACAGTTACACAATCCAAATATGTAAGTCATACTTAACCATTCTTTTTTATGCATCAAACAAACTTTCATGGCTTGCATGCCTGTTTATAAAGGTGTTAGTATGTTATTGATGAGCTAATGCATTGCCGCCATTTCTGCTATGGCAAGATAGCATAGTCTTGATGTTGAGCAGATAAACAGATAAGAGGATTTGGTTCTCTCTTGCAAGATCTGATCACACACAATCCATCAAAGTTAGATTTCAGCGCATTTACTTCAAAGAATATGATGTTTTGTCAAATGTAAGGGTTCAAAGCTCTGCAGCAACACCTATTTCCATTGATTGAATTACAGTTATAAACCACTCCCTAAATTCTAATAAGGTAGCTGAAACAGCATAATAAGTAATTTACTGAAACATGCAAGACAGTATGTCTGTATTGGCATTGTGGAAGCAGCCTACAGGTTGAGCAGTACCACTTTCCCTTGAATCTTGTCTCCGGCGTCAGTCCAACACAAGCATAACGGAACCATTCGCCTCCTTGGCACTGAAGGAACAGAATTTGAAACAATAGGTACCCATCAAATTGTTGATAGTCAATGTTAATCATGATGAGTGAAAATAGATATACAAATTTTGGGGTAGCAGCGGAGTTGTGAGAACATTATATGCGCACTACTGCAACCCACAATATTTGTCAATTATTTTGACACAAAATTATGTATGAGAAACTTTAATAACTAACGATGAAATATATAGATGCCAAGTAAGGGAAAACAAATACTACAACACTACTAGCATATGTTAATAGTAAAAACGTAAAAGAAAGACCAGAGAGGAACTCACATTTTCATTGTCACAGGCAATCATATCTCCGAATGATACCTAAATGATTATAAAAGAATCCTTTAGTTGCACGAACCTATGACTTTGATGGTAACGTAATTGTTGTTATTCCTTGAGGTTTCGAGTTTGAGCATCGACAATGCCAGGGGTTCATACGAACGATCAATGTCAAATAGTTGAGAGTTATCTTTGAACATATACTACCTTATACTTACTCCAGATTTGTTTTGAACCAAAGCTTTAAAACCAATGAAACCCTTAAAGCAACAATCGTAACTCACTGAATAGTGTTCGAGTCAAATTAAGCACTACTCAACTTGTGATCAACTCGCTCGATAAACACCCTCACTCTAATATCTAATTATCCATGTAGTAATATAGTGTTTCATGTCACACCTTTTTTTATTAATGATTTTATTTATTTATTTTGTTATTATAAAAACATTTAGGATAATTATTCGCATGACTACTTAGCTATTGTCTTTTCTTACTTTAACTATTGATATTTCAATTTTATCAATCAGATTATCTAACTATTTAAATGATTTAGTCAAGTCACTAACCGTTAATATTTAATTGTGAAGATTGTGATAGTAATTTTTTTTGTACAATTATACATTTGGTACTGTTACTTATACAAGGTATTAATTTGGTCATAACTTTTAATTTTAATTTAATAAATTTAATCCTATAATTATATTATAACACATTTCAATCTCTAATTTGATGATTAAATTTATTTAAACTAGAGAAGACCATGCATAAGCTCCCACACTGAACCAAGAATATTAAATGATTTACATTTAACAATATATAATATAATTTAAATTCATAACATTTTATACCTCTTTAACTTTAAAAATTTATTTAACTTATTAAATATATTTTAAGATAGATTACACAAATAGTCCATCGACTATAAGAAGCTATTTTGTTAAGTTATTTGATTATTAAAAATTATAAAATGGTCTCTCAACTATAAGTGATGTTGTGTTGAGTTTACTGACTATTAAAAGTTACAAAATGGTCACATGACTATTTATATTTTAAACTCGCCATTTTCTGTTAAAAAATTAGTAATCGTCTGAGCTAGACGATGCTTTTAAGCATTGACTCGACGACATAATGTTTCAAGCTCTAGTTCGACAATATAATATTTCAAGCACTTACTCAAAAACATAGTGTAAACCAAGAGTTAATTCACAAAATACAGATCAAACAGTTATGGAATCATATTTTATCATATCTCAATCAATAAGTTGATGTTCATTTTAGATAACCACCAATTTTTTAATAGAAAATGACGAATTTGAAACATATGAATAGTCGACTGATTATTTTGTAGTTTTTAATAGTTGGAGGACTTAGCAAAACACCATCCTTTATTTAAGTAACTATTTTATAATTTTTAATAGTTGAAATACTTAACAAAACAATATACTATAATTAAAACCATCCGTGAACTTTGCCCTATATTTTATTCTTTTTTTACCTTCCTAATAAATTAGACAAAAACGTGAAAATAATAAACGAAAACCTCGTCGTTTTAGCTAGTCCTTTTCCTTTGCTTTTGGCGCCAGCCGATAAGAGTTGCCAAAAACCATCGACACAAAACTCTCAATTCCTTGAAGACTGTTGGAACGTTGATGCTCAATCCAATACTAAAAAACCCAACAATAATCCATGTTTCTCAACCAAATTTCTCTTCATGGTTCCTCTACTTATTCCTTCTTTAATCACTTACCCTTCCTTAAACTCAAACCCCACCAGATCTCTCTCAAGCACACCCAGAAGAACTTGCAAAGGTAGTTTTTCTTTTTGTAGATTTTACTTTTGAATTACTTATTCATTTACTTCTCTTATTACCCGTTTTTGTTTTATTTGGTCTCTCATTTT